AAACATTTGCACATATCATATACACATTCAGAGAGATTCAGCCAATTAGGGACTCCTCCATGTATTCTTTAGTCAACTGAGTGATGCAGTGTTTTTAGGAAATGCAAGCATCACAATTCAAACCACATACACCCCAAAAAAATAATATAATGGAGAAGCCACTACATAACATTGAGCGCAAGTTCATCATTCAGTCCTTTAGGTGACAATATCTGCGAGGTGAATGCCTCTCTTCTCTTCACTAACAAGTCATGGTTTCCACCCCTTGGACGCACTTTTATTGTTAACTTATTCTCCGTGTGGTTTTGCTGATATGTGCAAAACCACAAGGGCAATGTATCATTTATATATAATTTGAGTAGATGCACATGTAGTCACACTTCTAATCGGAAAATTTTTTCCGGTATGCGACTGAAAAAAGTATGTAGTTTTACTAGTGTTGTGACACTGGATGCAGTGTCCACACCAGTAATTTCCATTTGCAAGGGCATTCAAAGGGGTCTGACATGGTGTTCTGGGAATCCATCCTACCTCACAAGCCATCCTACCCATTGTTTCTGCGCATTTCTACGCAACACAAAACCCAAATTTACTTCATTTTTTTTAACCCATTGCCAATATTTCTTATGGTTATGGTTAGGGTTATGGTTTGGATTAGTCAGGAGTCACCATCAAATTATAATACGGGTAGGACCTCACAGAAGAATAAGTAGTTACAGGTCAGTTCTCTATCCCTTGCAAGAATTTAGATTTTATCTCTATTGCTCTTTCAATAAAGTCCTCTGTGGTTTTGCACAGTTGGTGCAATCTAAAAACTGACTTTTAGGAAAGCCTTACTTAAGTAGGCACAAGTAGCTAATAATAATGTATGTCTATCAGTATCTTGTCGACATTCTTACACATAACCCACGTGTCAATGAAAATAAGTGTTGTACTCAAAAATAAACTGAAGGTTATTTTTAAATGTACAGGGTGGGCCATTTATATGGATACACTGTAATAACATGGGAATGGTTGGTGATATTAAAGTCCTGTTTGTGGCACATTAGTATATGTGAGGGGGCAAACTCCTCACGATGGGTGGTGACCATGGTGGCCATTTAGAAGTCGGCCATCTTGGATACAACTTTTATTTTTTCAATAGGAAGAGGGTCATGTGACACATCAAACTTATTGGTAATGTCACAAGAAAAACAATGGTGTGCTTGGTTTCAACTTTCATGAGTTATTTACAAGTTTCTTTGTTCACAGCCATTGAAGAGGTTAACACGTGAGGAGCGGATCGAAATTGTGTTGATATCTGGTGACCGCGGTAACCGGGTCATTGCAGCAGATTTCAATGCAAGACACCCTACGAGATTACCCATCTCCCATGCTACAGTTAGCAAACTGCTTGCTAAGTTTCGTGAAATTGGTTCAGTGTTGGATTTGCCAAAATGTGGACGCAAGAAAACTGTCACTAATGAAGAAACATCAGTGGCTGTCCTAGCTTCATTCAGCAAGAGCTCACAGCGTAGCACTCTTCGCATGTCACTGGAGAGTGGCATTAGTCGAACATCCCTTCGGCGGATATTAGCTACTCATAAATGGCACCCTTACAAACTCCAGCTACTGCAGCATCTCAACGAGGATGACCAACATCGGCGGAATGGGCAAAACAAAAATTGGAACAGGACCCTCAGTTCACGCAGAAGATTTTGTTCAGTGATGAGGCAAACTTTTATGTGAATGGTGAAGTTACAAACAGAACCACCGCTATTGGTCTGACACTAACCCACATTGGATGGATCCCTCCAAGACTGTTGGAACAAAAAAGTGATGGTTTGGTGTGGTATATGGGGTACAACGATAGTGGGTCCATTCTTCATCAA